TCAAACTTCTATATTTATATTATTAATAAAATTGAACTCATAATCAGATATTGCAATAACTAATTAATCAAAGTGTTCGCAATTTGGAAACGCAATAAAAATAAGATCAACGTTATTTTCTGTGTTCCAAATTGCGAACACTTTTTTCTTAATTGGCTTAATTTTTGTTCGCAATTTGGAAGCTACGCAAATATTATAAACATTACACGATAAAGCTTAGAGAGAGGGTACGTTACTAATGAAGATTCGTGGTTTGAGAGAGAATAGGGATCGGTCGCAGGCGATTTATTTTCTTCAATTTTTTTTTATCATAATGCGATAATATGTTATTGTTTGAACAAAAGGAACGAATGATTATTAATTTTTGTTTTGATTGAATAAACAAAAAAAAGTCACAATATCAAAAGCAAAATAGAATTTTTTTTAATGCTTCTTAAGACGAAAGTTTTTTTTAAAATCATTCTATTCGATTTGTTAGGGGGGATGAAAGATGGGCGCCGATTATGGGATACATTAGAGAAAATTTTTAAAATATGCTGGACTTCGTTATTTTCAATAGTTGAAAATTGAATAAAATAATAAACTAATTATCTATGAAAGAAAATATTTTTTTTCAAAACGTTAATTTATTCAAAATACATAAAAATTGAGCATTGTAGAATTTTATTTGTCAACTTTATTAATCATATATTAAAGATTCATGCAGATAATGATTTCAACTTTACTTTTTTTCTCAATATTATCTAGAATAGTAAAAAGATTTTCATTAACTTCAAAAATGTTAAAACGTTTACTTTGTATTGGAATTCTCTGAAATATAACAGAGAATCGTTGATGTAAATGTTATTTTTTCTACTGGACATATGTATGTCTATATTTATAGATTTGAATTCGATTTTTTTTTGATCATCTGTTTTTTTAAAGAGCCTTTGAATTGATGTTCATGATGAATAATGATAACATGTCGCTGAAAACTATATTTATTTGATATCAACCATTGCAATATCTCGAAGCAATAATGTATACTTCAATCGTTTTAATTTACAAAAAAAAACCTTTAAAAAAGAAAAGAAAAAAGAATTCACATACCATCTCTAATATGAACAACGAGGATGATGATAAATCTAAAGATTTTGTATAATCACATAGATATGATACAGAAATGTACTTTTTTTTCGTACAATTTTATTTAGACATCAATATAGATGTTTATCATATCTATACGATGAAAATTATCATCTAGTATTTGCCATTCATAATACAGTATTCGATTTTTTCATGTTATATCAATACTCAAGTGTCTTAGAGAGAACAATTATTTGTTTCTTTATCAATTCTTTTTCCTATAAATTTCAAAATATGTAATTGATTCCTTTTATAGAAACTGTTAATTCTAGTATTTTCTTTATTTTACATATAGAATATTAACTTATATTAAAAATCAAACGATCGACAGTTTTTGTTTTGATAGATGAAAACATAAAGTATCAATAAAAAATGCATATGTACATTTCACGAGATATACGAACAATGTTTTGAATACAAAATTATATTAATCATCTACAGAAGATAATTTCTGTTTTTATTTTCGTTGAGAGTTTCATAAATCCCGATTAAAATCAAATTTTAAAAGTACTAATTTAGATGTCATTTGATAGATTACTTAGATGACGGCATTTATTTTTATTTTGGAAGCATGTTCATCAACTGATATAATCGAAACCACGATCCGTTGTGTTTATGAAATCCGAACAAAAAGAAAACAATTATGTAATCCATTATACATATGCATAGCGGCAAGCTGTTAATTAGAAACTCTGAATATTATTTCTATAACAAAGACATTTTTTTAAATTAATCAATCAAATATCAGAACAGCAGTATATCCTAAGCAGTTTTTTGTTTTTAAAATTATCCACTTGTAATGATCCAGCGATATATGAATATAAATATTAAGTTAAAGAAAACTTTTATACATAAACAATGAACTACCACAAAATAGCGGATACATTATTTTAATGATGAGAATATTATAATCCGTGTGCACGATTTGCTGTCCGCGGATTTACTGTCCATTGATTAGATAAAATTCGTTCTAATTAATGAATTTATGGAGTGAGGATTTACTGTCCGTTGATTGAAAAAAAGTTATTCCAATTAGTATTTCTTATTTATGAGAATTTACGTTCCGTTGATTAGAGTAAGAGAAAGAACTACAAAAGTGAATATGCGTAACGAGAATCAATGTTGATTATAAAAAAACAATAAAAAAATGTTCGAAATAAAAGAAACAACGATTAATCCTCGGATGGTATTTTAGATCCAGCTGGGCCTACATGCTGCCATTTTTCATTTCCTGTTACGTTGATATGATCCATTTCTAATTCACTTCTTTTCTAACTTTAAGAGGTAATTTTAGAAAAGAAATCATTCAGAAAATGGTACGTATGAACATTGTGAAAAATGAAAAATAGTATTATGTTGGTCCAGCTAGACTAAAAAAAGTCATCCGAGGATTAATAACCGAAGAATATATTATATGACGTGTGAGGGTGGATGACGGTGTGGTCGTATTGATATTCCAGCATTCTTGAACGTTGATAAGCCTTGATGTTATGAACATCCATCGAAAAAAAAATCTTGTCTTTTTTTTCTTATTTGTTCCTATATATACTGTTTACTGTTTTTTTTCTGAGCAACATTGATTCTCTTTACGCAGATTCACTTTTTTATTTCTTTATCTCATTTTAACCACTGATAAGTAAATCCTCACCCATAAGAAACACCAATCGAGATATTTTTTTTGTTCAATCAATGGACAGTAAATCCTCAGCAGCGAAAATTCCATTTTTTCTCGAAAAAATCCAATTGAAATAGAAAATCAATCCGCGGACAGTAAATCGTGTAAACCCTTATATTTTTACATTTCTTCCGGTCATAAAAGAAAGAAAAAGAAGAACTAATAGTGCGATATCAGAAGATAATAATTGATTTACATCAAGTTTTTGTTAGTTAATGCTAAGAAATAATTCAGTAATTAAATATCAAAATCCATTCCTGGTAAGAATTTAATATCGCATAAAAATAATGATATTCGAAATGTTTTGCCATACAATGTCCAAATTTTAACTTAAAAAAATTCAACAAGTGCCTGATATATAATTGTGCTTTATCACTCGTTTATGCAGGTAAATAGAGCAGGGGGCGGGGAGGGGGGGGGGGGGGGGGAGAAGATGGGGGTTAAAAAAAAAAAAAGCAGTTGAGCAAAATTAATGTCTTTCAAAATTACATTTAAGCAAAGCGCGCCTACTGAAAATTGTTTACGGCAGTAAATCGCACGGCAGTAAATCCAGTATACGTACCGAAACATTCTAGTTGAGGGTGACTTTTTGGACCTAGTGAGCCTATTAAAATTGTTGACTTGTTTATTAGAAAAATATTCAACGGCATAGATGGATATCCCACATCAGCAAGTATTTATGGCAAAAAAATTTTGACGATAACTTCTAGAATTGCTGAGAAAATCGAGTTTTACTGCGTGGGGCTGCGCTCGAAAAAATGAAAAAATAGGAGTAAAAGAAATTTAAGTTTTTAGTCTACCTAAGCCGAGATACAAGCGAAGTGAAAAATTGTTGTAAATATCTTGGCACTCTCTGAAGATGAATAGAAAAATTGAAACAATAGTACATGATGATGTTGTCACTGGTTCTCATGCACAGTAAAAGCTATAGACTTGAAAGTTTGTAGTTTTGTAATACTTGATATGTACAATAATCTGCCAAATTTTCAAGAAGTTTGCTTTTGTTGAATATGCGAATGATAAATTTCAAAATTGTAACGAAGTTCTGGGACACTCTTTATAAAATAGCATTCTGATCGACTCTCGAGTAATTTCTTAAATGAAAATTGATCTGAGAAAGAAACCTGACTATTTTATTTTTATTCTAACTATTTTCTAAATATAAAATCAATTCTATAAATTAATAAAATGATTAAATTCTAAAATATTTCCATAAACAGTTAGTAGATGTTTAATAATTTTAGAATAGTTTACGTCTGTTTATCGACTAAAAAAATGTAACATATGAAAATGTTTATTTGCTCTTCTTTGTATTGCAATTGTTATTCGAGCTGATCATTCAAGAGTTGAAATAGATTCGTTTTAATAAAACTCATATTGTTTATCTGTTGAAACAACCAGTATATTAGATGGTTGGTGAATATATTCAATAACAACAATAACTGTACAAACGACTTCGAATTTCTCAGTCGTTTTAACAATAAACTCACATGCCACTTGGACTTCTTTACAAGACCAACAACAAACATTTTTATACAACATTTCTTTAGTTTATAAGCATAATGTAAACATTCACATGATAGGAATTTGATGCGTACTGATTTATGTTGCTCATTCTTTATAAGAAAAAGCAATTAATAAAAAGCCTTTGCTACGAAAGCAAAAATAGTTTCATGAAGTTAACTCGTACATAAAGTAAAAATGTCTTCTTATATGTTTCAGTGTCCCAAATATCGAATTAATTATTATTCGCAATACACACAACAACTAGCAAGAAGCGCACAAATAATTGTAAGAATTATGCATGATGAATCAATCGACAACCAGACAATAGATGTTGTTTTTGATGGTTTTTCCCATTGAAAAGCAAATTTTAAATTAATTTTTCCATTATCATTATCAGAACCTGCCAACAATTTTTTGTGAACATAACATGGATAAATTTTATTAACCTAAAAAGAACAAAATAATCATTGCAATTTTAATTTTTATTGCACGGAAATAAAACCACAAAGACTATTATGGCATATGATGATAGCAACTTACGGAATATTGTCGTTCTGTATCGTAGAACGCCAAAACTGTTAAATTCGGACGTAATACAATAAGATGATTTGTGGTATTGTTGTCTTGTGGTTGTTTAACCATGTCTACTTCCAATCTACATAGCCACTGTGCAATCCCATAAATAACATCCTTCCCTTCTTCCAATTGCATTGACAAGACAATAACTAGGTTGTGTGCTAAAGCTATTTATTTTATTATATTCAAGGCCATAAAAAAAAGATGATCGGTATGCCACTAATTATACTTAGGAATACTAGCGTAATGCTCGCCATTGCTAGACAATCACCACATTGTTCTTTCCATGTTATAGATATTGTTGTAGGAATTGCTTGATATTGTGTATTACTACTCATTATGTGCTACAAGACTACAATATACGATACATATAGAATCTAAAAAATGTGAGGCTTGTTGAATTTTTTCATTTTGTTCTTTGCTTGGCGTCAACGCTGGAAATTATACGAAAAAATAATGTTCGTTTAAGTATCTCTCTAATTGCATAATTGGTGACGAATAAAAGCAGATTACCCAGCTTTTTCGGATAGATGATCGTCCTGATAATTGATGAATTAATAGATCATCAGAAAAAAATACGAATTCGGAATCATGTTGACTTGATTCACAATTGACTTTTAATCAGCATAAAACATTATGTTTGAACAATTATAAATAAGAAGAACGTTTAGACTCAGAGGGTTGCGACTTGATCAGAATACTGATGACGTTAATATTGATGTGAAACAGACTTATATCTCGATCTGATCGACGAATGATCTTAGAAAGGATATTCTAGAACGATAATCTTTGCATTCTTATCTTGCTGCACTTACTTATATTTAGACTTTACAGCTAAGGCATTGAGTCTCATACTGTTCTTGTTTTTGGGTTGTCAATAAGCATCATAGCAATAGTCGTTTTACTGCTTATGAAAGAAAAAATTCTCATCGAGAAAAAAGTAATTTTTTTTTCAATTTACTTTACACAGTTTTAAATATTTTTTTGACCTTTTTATACGAAAGAATCTTATGTTTTTACTCTGTTTGAATTGTTGTTTTTTCTTCTTTCCTTCTCTATGTGTGCGTATTGATCTTTGCATATTAATTAAAAACACAAACGAACGAACGGAAGAGAAACTGTTGTTTGACAGGATACCTTCGCCTGAGTTTTTTTTTTGTGTCATTCTCAAGATTACTAATAGTTTCATCAAGTAAAAAATTCGAAGAGTATGAAAAACCTATAAACAAGCAGCTACTTATGGTTCTACTGGTCGTAATTTGTCTTCTCTACCATACATCAAACTTTTCTAAACTCATAGAACACCAGTTCAAAATGACTTATTGATTATTTGTTAAATAATGCGATCAGTAATTTTATAAGGGAAACAAATTTAGCATTGATTATGAGTAAAATTTTTTTCTATATTTTAAACTTCGATTGAGTCAAAAAATGATAGATATCATTAAAAGAAGAGTGAGAACGTGGCGGTGAGACAAAGCAAGCTACGACGCGTTTTCACCTTGCTTTAAGAGCATTATGAAAGGGTGTGCGTGTGGTTTGCTGTGATTTCAACTCATATTCACACCCTCAATATTATTCGAACACAATCAGATCATTCTCGATCTCTATAAAGAATCAATTTATGACGATTGAAAAAACTTTATTAATCTATATCATTTTGAATTTTATCAAATAATGAGAAAATTGATTAGTTCTAATCAAATACATACGAATTTCAGACAGAATTACTTGAAATTATACGAAGTTCATTAAGAAAATAGTTTCTTTTAAGAAATAAAACTAATTTCTTATTAATATGACAAAGTTCATCATCAAATTCTTTGTCAATATCTTTTTTAGTAATGAATTTTAGTTTCGATAACAATGGGTGTGTGGGTGTCAGTCTAAAGAGGAGGCCTATCCACATTCCACCCACAGCCACACCCATCCACACTACCCACACCCCACATTTTATGTTGTGCCTGAAGGTGTGCTTTTTGTTATACTTTGCATTCGTTTTTTTCGTTCTTGTCCTGCTTCTTGAAGAAAATGGTTCATCAGAAATTTAAATAACAAGAACGAAGAATGAATATGCGAAGTATCGTTGCTGTGCAAAATGTGCGGGTGGATGTTTTTTTCTCGCCATCTAGGATGAAGGACGTACGTGCGGTAAGAGAAACTTTTTGCAACGAAGGAAAAAAAAACTTTTACTGTCTTGTTTCAAAATCAAGAGATGAAGATGAAATTCTGTTGCCTTATGCGATAAAAATAACAAGAAAGCCCAATGAGCGCTCCATTGAGTAACGGTGTGATCCAATGTTATTTTGACGAACAGCTCAGAAGAGATGTGAAAAATTTCTCTATCAGTGTTTTTAGGAATATTTTTAATTTAATTACGTTTTTTTATTTCTTCATCTGAGAGTAGAATATTTATTCAACATTGTTTACTAGAACTATCACATTTACGGTTAACATGGCTACGACTGTTCTGCACAATGACGATATGCATACTCTTGGTGATAACCTCGAGACATTCACTCTTATCTGGCTTGATCCTAATGTCAACAACATCAAGAACGATCAAGATAGCGAACAACAACTACGTAACATAATCAATCATTTTAAAAAATTTGACGATGAACATGTGTGCCAACAGTACATTGAACACAGATCAGAAAAAGATCGTCTGGTGCTCGTTGTTAGTGGTCAGTTAGGACAAGAATTAGTACACAGGATTCATCATTTGAGACAAGTCTCTTCAATCTATTTTTATTCCACAGACAAGAAAAAAAACGAAGAATGGATTGGTAAGTTCACTAAGGTAAGACTATTTGAATGAACTTTAGTTGTTGAAAAGGCTTTTTTTAGATTAAGGCCGTTGCTATTAAAATTGACGAGCTCATTGCTCAAATTACATCAGATCAGAAAAAACGAATGAAAAAGGAAGAACCTCTGTCAATCAATATTTTCTCCACCATCGATGAAGCGGGTAAATCGACAACAGGACTAAACGGACAGTTTGTGTATTCTCAATTACTGATTGATTGCCTTCTTCGACTGAAATCAAGTGAAACAGACAAACGAGAACTGTTCTCACTTTGTGAGAAAGAATATGAAGGCAACATAAGTCAACTGACAATTCTTCAGGAATTTCAGCACCATTATTCGTCTAACAAAGCCTTGTGGTGGTATACTCGTGACTCGTTCTTCTACAGAGTCTTGAATAAAGCATTACGTATACAAAATATTGAAATACTTGTTCTCTTTCGTTCGTTTATTTCCGACATCCATCGTCAGTTACATTTATGTCGATCGAATTCTCCATTACGTGTATACCGAAGTCAGTTAATATCTAGTGATGAACTCAACAGTCTCAAACAAAACATTGGTCAATTTATTTCCACAAATTCATTTTTGTCTACAACCATTGACCATGAGATAGCACTATTTTATGTAGGTGATGGTACTCCGACAGATGGTTTGGAGCAAGTGTTATTCGAGATAGATGCTGACCCACATGTAGTAACCACGAAACCATTTGCTGATATCACTTCTCATAGTGAATTTCCTACTGAATCAGAAGTACTTTTCATGCTCGGTTGTATATTTCGTATTAACAACATTACTTCGAAAGATGGTCAACTGTGGATCATTCAAATGACATTATGCGGAGAAAATGAACATGATTTGAGACAAGTCCTTACGTACATGAAGAGCCAACACGGTAGTGGAGTGACGGATCTTCGCACACTGGCTACTGTTATATGGAAGATGGGAAAATTTGATTTGGCCGAAAAATACTATCACCGTTTCATCAACGAAGTTCCATCGAATGATCCTTCTCTTATAACAATATATGAGAATCTCGGCGAAATTGCCTCACATAAAAGAGATTATGACATGAGTATTCAATGGTATCACAAAGCACTTGAAATAAAATATGCAAATTCGTCATCAAACGATGTCAAGGTTCATCCAATAGCCAATTTCATTGGTAGGTTTATTGGAAGATATTAAGTCATAAAATGCATCTCTTTAATTTTATCAATTGGCCAATTGATGTTGAGTTGGTGCTGAGTGGGGATGTAAGGAAAGAGGTGCTAGAGAGATTCAACTCTCCTTCTAACAACTTTCAAACGCCACTAGAAAATTTGAAACTGTCATAAATGCGGATAAGAGCCTCCAATGGAAGACTTAGAATGAGTTGAACCGCCCCTACCAGTTTTTCCTGTATTATGCTCCTTGCGCTGAAATTGAGTATGTCACAAGTACAACCATTGATCAAAGGACGGGGGCGCATAAGAGGTCAAATCGGCCCATTAGGAATTGTTCGGGATAACCCTATTGAATCATACACAATTTGAAAGAGCAAGTTAAAATGAATATTTTAATGCTATTTTCTTGGGGTTTCGATCGAATTTTTGAAGCGAAAAGCTATTTACAAAGTTACTCATTTTGGGGCACTAATCCAATAATCGATCATATCCATGGTCGCCCCAGTTTTGGTATAAGTTGATATGGAAAAATGGTTGTGAAATTAAGTATTTGATAGCTTCTTGATGGGCCTTTAGTCCTATATAAGAATTAATAGTTCCTTGTTCGATTCAGTCAGAACAAGATCTGGCATATTATTAGACACTGTTGACATATGGCCTATATTTATCAGTAACTTTTATCTTTCAACAAATGTTTCATCGAATAAATTAAAGGTACCAAAATTCTGATATAGTTCATTCGGTAGCGCTTTTCAAAAGCTACAAAATCGTATATTTTATAAAGTCTAAAAAATCTGGCCCCTATGAAAATTTTCAACCAAAACATGCTAGGGGTATGATTTATGGCCATTTTTCACTCATAATGTACCTATGGTTTTTGAAAAAGTACAGCTATGAGTTCAAACTAATAGCAGATTCGGATTCAGCATTGAAAACTAAGTGGACTTATATATATCCGAAATGTCTCCAACGACTTTCATTTTTCTCGAAAAATGCACCCGTACTCCCCCTCAAGGTACTTTTGAACAATTTTTCCCTGAGGGGGAGTACGGGTGAATTTTTCGAGAAAAATGAAAGTCATCAGAGAGA